GAGGCTGCAGATCAAATCTGTAACACACTAGCTAGCACTAAATTAAGATCGATGTTTCTTATCATAATTAATCACCATGCAGAGAGATACACAAAAAATATATTARATTTACAAAATAAYATGAAAAATTCAGGGTTTGTCAGTAAGAACTAATGACACAWTTGAACAAGTATCAGGAGGACTAAATCTTACAGGATTTCAATCCAGATGTTAACCCAAAGCTGCAAGATCTGACTGATTCCAAGGCACTTAAGAACTGCACAGTGCAGAGCAGCAYGTCACACTCATTCTCAGACCAGTAACTTTTCAAATATTTTACAAAATACTTTGACATTCAGCGCTTAAAACCCAGCCTAAATCACATTAATTATTTCAGTTCTGCTAGCTGAAAAAAMCCAACCCTTTACTCTATGATTCATGTTCCTCTTAGTTAATTTAGAMCCTTAACTCATTGTAACACGAGGGACTTTTCCTATAGATGAAATAGGACACAGCCTGTTCTGTAAAYTGCAACCAGGTGCATGTTACTAACCTGGGGAAATGTTCACAATTAGCCTGCCGTGGTTGACTTCACATGAAAAACAACACAAAAGTTCAGTTTAAATTAACAAGAGCTGATTTGACACAGGGGCCAATTCTGCCACCTCCATTCCACTTGWGAAGAAACCCAAGCTGCAACTAAACTAATTAAAATCACGGAATTAGCCATCAATACTATGAGATGGAACTGTACTAAGAGCTTTTCATGTCACAAAGTGCATCACATATGGTCAGTCTTGTCCTGCACAAAGCACGTGCCTGGCTGCCTGGGCGTGGAAATTCAAAGTATTGATGCATGGATCCCAAAAATCACATTGTTAATGYCCATGGATGAGAGATGTGGAGCTCCCGGGCCTCCTGCTCACCCAGATGGGAACTGCCACTTGCTCTTCCTCTAAAGGGTGATTTTGTGGGAGCTCTTCTCTGGGTGATTTGGTGGGAGACTCAGTCTTTTGACCTCCAAACACAGGTAGCATTCAGAGCAGAAAAAGGCTCATCCCTATTTGCAGCTGTCGTACCAAACTCAAGAAGACACTTACTTTCCTCTACTCCTCTGACACCGCATCACATCCCCTTCCCAGATAAAACCTTTGGAAATAATTAATGAAGCAGACTTTTAATAAGGCCTGGTTTGTCTAATAACAATAAACAATGGGTTGTTCTGGAATTCTATGCAGAACATGCTGAGAATTAGCATGCAACACATGAAGCCAAATAACTGAAAACTATGGGATCAGGACCCGAAGTGTGGCTGAAACATGAACTATTAAATCTATATTCATTCCAGCTTGACTATCAAAACTGAGTTCACTCAGCAGCAACCCCCAACAGGATTTCACTGCTCAATATATTTTTATCGCTATGCAGCTYGAGCAGTATTTTTGATCAATTCCTACAATCAACATCGGAACGCAGTGGGCCATTATTTTTCTGCTGAAAAAAAAATGACTTCTTTAAACCTTGTTAATCAATATGYCCAGTTTAAGTTACTGCACAACTTCCACAGCCAGCTGTGCAAAACAGTAGGAGCTGGAAAGCAACTTCCAGGGCCGCTTGGTCGGCATTGCTAATGTGGGACTCCTCATCATGAGCAAATCCAGGTTAATTGCAGCAGGGTGAATTATGGGATGCCCTCTGGTACCTGATGCTTCTTTTCATTAGCCTGGGGCCTCCAAATCCCTGGTCCTTCCTGAGAGCCTTTGCTGATAACACCTCTCTGTGCAGAGTAGTGACAGTTAAATTGTTTACTCCTGCTTGAGACGGTGGAAAATTACTGAGGCGCCTTCTCAGGGTCACCTCGYTTGCTGGGGAAGTTTGGATAATTAGAGACAAGGCTGTTTTTGCCCTTCTCCATTCTCCTGGCAACTGCAGATGAGTTATGTCAAAATGACCGTGTCTCCTTTTCCCCAGTGCAGCTGTGCACGTGGTGTGCTCCCTGCTACAGCCAACACCTGCAAAATGTGGGACACCTCAAGAAGAGGAGGCAACTAATGAGGGGAACATGATGGGGCATCTGCATATCTCCATTAATGASTCCTAAAAACTGCAGGTCTGTAACTGGAGTCATTCTCTTACTGTTGGTGTTTCTGTAATGCTGATTACTGCGGTGGCCGGGAATTTAATTATCTACAAATGAGAGCAAAATCAAACCAGGGGGGAGCAAAATGTCACAGTGCTGCAAGCTGCCCTGTCGATCACCAGGTTCCACCTGATTTCAAGCACAGGAAATACMAAAGGTGGGGCTGCTGAGGCAAAAAAAAAACTGCTGCTGAGCAAAAGGATGGTTGTTCCATGAAGCTGGAAAAAAGAAAAGCAGCTTGAGGAGATGCTGAGTGTCCTGAGGACACCRTTTCTGCAGCCAGGGAGGCTGGATGTGCCAGCTCAATGTGGCTGCAAGGGATGGGAACACGAAAAGGGAAGGTGGACAAAGGGAAAAAGCAGCAAGATTCATGCCAGGACCTGACGGAGGAGAGAGCCCTGCACTTGGGACGGAAGCATGAATCTAAGAGACAGGAGATGATGGTCCTTAACCTGTTTTGATGTCCCTGCCTGACTCACTTTTCAAGGATATTCCACATTTAAAAATACATCAAGCCATCCATCTGCAGGTGAGCATGGTTTCAAAAAAAAAGACCCTCTCTCTCTCTCTCTCTCTCTCTCTCTCTCTTTCTCTCTCTCTCAGCAAGGCAAGCACACCACTGCACTAAACCACTCTACACCATTATTTCCTCTGCAAGGAGCAGAGGCTGCAGACAGCGTGTCCTTTTCATTCCTGCTCTCATGGAGGAAATTAATGAGGACAAGTTTCCAAAGGATATTTATCACATTTCCTCTAGGTGGGGATGGAGGAGATGGACAGACTGGCAGCACAATTCTGCAAGTTGACTTTCCCTGGGAAAACCAGTGGAGCAGCAGATGCTTGGAGCACTCCAAGCAGGYACTGAGGTTTTCCCATCAGTCAGTTTTTTAAAACCTGGTCTCTCCCTTAGGCAGATTCACATTTCTTATGCTTGAACTCCTCAAGGCAGAACAGATCAATAAAAATTATGTTTTTCACTGTCTGATCTGCAGTTGCTGTTTCAGGTGCCACAGTTGCCACTATAAATGTCTTTGCAACTACAACTGGGAGAGATTTTCTTCCACWGGTGAATTTTTAGGACACAACAACCCATAATTACTCAGTTCACTATTCTGCTAAATAATCTGTCCGAGCATGAMAAAACTCTTCAGTGTGTTCTAGGACCAGAGGAAGCAGTTTATCTTGCTTTAAGTTACATTTACACATTCCGCCAATCCCTGTAGTACATGATGAACACATCTCTGAGTCATGCGAGAATCAAAGGCATGTTTGGTAATTAAAGGTAATTCACTTTAACCAGATATGGTTAAAAATCTCTCTGGTCAAATGAGGATTAACATAAATACTGGATTTATGACATCTACCAGATAGAAACAAAAAGATCTTACTGTCATGTCATTCCAAACACACAATATTCATCAATAAATGCAATCAAATTTTACGTGTAATCCATTTAGTGATAGCTCTTAGTTCAGTAAATTACATATTTATTATTTTCATTGTAAAAACTGTTTATTTGTTTAAATACTGCTACTTCCTCTTAAGCCTTTTGTTTTCTAAATAATAATGTAAGCAAATATAAGATATCATCACTGAGATTAATTATAAAAGTGAAATGGTCCAGTGAGCTGGAATACAAGGAATAATTTCCTATGGAAATTTTTGATTTAGGAACTTTCATCATAATGACTTCACATCTGAATATGGAAACAGATTCATTCTTACATTAAATCTCTCTKTTTCAAAACCTTAGTGTATAATAGAAAACAGAAAGGCACAGCAGGGATTTCCAAAAAGCATGGATATGCATTTTCCTGAGCTCATCCTCCAGCGGGGAGAATCCAATACAGCCCCATCCACACACTGCCCGATCCCACCCCAGTCCCAGGCACACACACACACAGAGGCTTTTAGGGAAATATCTCAGGAGGCTTCTGGAGCCACCCTCGTAAGGAAGAAGTGGCACAGAGCTTCAGTGGGGTGTGAGAGGTCCCCTAGCATCAGGAACCCACAGGATTTGCCCTCGGAGAGTGACAGCTCCAGCTTAAGGGAAAGTCAGGAGATAAGTTCTACAATAATTCACCAGGAGATGAGTTCTACGATAAATAGATCTATTTTAAACAGGCAAGACAGGCTCTGGATAGTTTTTATGCAGAGCCCCTGGTTCTTCCTCCACATAGTTCTGCCTCTGAAGAGGATTTGTGCCTTCACTCTGGTGCTGACCACTCAGTCCCACCATCTGTCACCCCCTTCCCAATCCTATCCAAATTACCCTGGGCTCTCTCCCACCYGCTGCTGGCAAACCAGGCAGCACARTGGGGTGACAGGGGGATTAACCTCACACTCCCCCATTGCTCAGACTTGTCCTGGCTGTGGTCTGATAYGTGCTGTAACCCCATCCCTTTGCAAAGTCAGATCAGACTCCTTATTTTCTGTCAAGCCARCTCACTACAATCAAAAACGTTGCTTCCTTGCAGAGACTATTTGCAGGTGTTATTCTGGGCTAGAACACAGACAAATGAAAATCCCAGTGCRAAGGTTAATGTGGAAATCCTCCTGAGGGAGCAACACAGAACAATGTGCATTTCCTCCAGCAGGCTGTTTAAAAGACATCAAGCACACAGATGCCATTCTGTCCCGCTCAGAGACACTGTGGCTGTGACCAGTGAGCCATACTGGGCAGAAAGAGCACTGCCAATGGCACAAAAGATGAAGCAGGATCTCTGGGGAGACAGTATCTCCATCTTATGACAACTGCTAGCCTCCCCTATTCCCTGCTGAAGTCAGGCAAGACTGGTTAATATTCAAACCTCAGCAAAAGGAAAATTCACACAAACCATGAGCGTTTCAGAGCACCTAAAATCAGCAAAGGTCACAGTACCTAAAATAGCCACCACCTCGTCGTCCTGGATGACTTCCAAGGAGCCYGAGACCACAAAGCACAGAGCATCAACGCTTTCCCCAGCGTGGTAGATGAGGTCCCCCGGGGCACAATGGATGGTCTGGAACTCCACRGCCAGGGCTCGCAGGCAGCCATCGCTGGCCAGACGGAACGCAGGGTGCTCGTTGAAAACCTTCCGGTTCAGGTGCACGCAGATGTCTGCTCTCATGTCCTTGGGGCAGATGGACAGGACCTGGATAGGAGAAAAGATGGGAGAATAATCAGCTGGGAATGTGATACAGGGTACAGCTTTATGGTACCTGGTGGATGGGTCTGAAGATCCACCTGGGGGGAACTTGAAATCAATCCATCCATCATCCATCCATCCATCCATCCATCCATCCATCCATCCATCCATCCATCCATCCATCCAT